GATGCGAACTCTTTACCCGTAGAGTCTAAGTCTTTTTTTGCGCGTTGAACTCCTGGAAGCAACAGCGCTCTAAACCATAAGGGTTAAAAAAGTATGATGAAATAAAAAAAAGGGAAAGGACTTCATTTTTGTTGAGCTATTCGTCTACGACATCCTGAAGATCTAGCAGTTTCCATATGAAAAAAAAAGGAAATACCGAGATGTTATTTCACGTTTAGCCCTTGTCTGCTATTATTCTTAAGCGCCATACTGTTGAATGAAAAGAAATACCGATCCTAGCGACTGAAGTTGTGCTATTGAGTGACTTAACTCATTGCTTTTTGAAAACACAACGTTCTCAGCAGGGGAGAGCACAACACATATATCTGAATAGCATTCCTGCAAACATCATCCATTTAGCAACCCCTCTCCCTCAAAATATAGAAAAATAAGCGACCGTACACCAAGACAAGGCAAATAAAGCGCATGTAGTCGCAGTGGTGAATTTTGCACGTCGACAAGTCTTCTCGGTATGGTGGAAGCTCTTCCTCAGAAAGAGACAGAAGCATCGCCTAAGGTTTCGCCGCTTCTTTTGGCTCTTCATTTTCGATAGGGTTTGGGATCTGTTGTCGAGCACACAAATCGAAGAGCATCCTCTTCCCTTGCAAGACACCCTCGTTGTCGTCGTGTCGACTACACCAACTAATATACTTCTGGCAGGTCGAAACTGCCTGTTGGACATCACGCAACCCTTCAAAGCACTTCAGAATGAATTTCAGCGTCCTCTTGACGAGCTCAAAGTCTCTTTCATCAATGTGCTGATTCAAGCCTTCAATAAGAATGTCAAGTGCCTTTCCGTAAAGTCTTCTGGCTTCATCAACACTTTCCCCGTTTCGCTGCTTCTGCTCTGCTTGCAAGCAAAAACTTTCGCCAAGGCCACTGAGAACCGTCCGGCGAAGGTTTATGGCAGCGACTGCCTGTATAGGTGATACCGACTTCGCATCCACGTCAATCCAGTGCAGTAAATCGTCAAACGTCTGTTGAGCCTCTGTGGCCTTTCCCATGGCGAGTAAAATATACCCGATAAGCTGGTTGGTTTCGGCGACTTGCGCCATATCCCTCTGCTCAGGATTAGTGTGGGTCATTAGTGATTCTTTTCCACGCTCGGCGCTCTTCAACGCGTCGTCGTACTGCTCGAGATTGTAATGGGCTTGCGCGGCCTCCATGTAGAGTAAGGCTTCACACTGTATAGGAGCGTTGAACGAGCCCAACGCTTCTAACATCTCGAGACCCCTTTGGGCTTCCTTCAGCAGTCGATGATAATCTTTGGCAACACGTGAGGACTCCATTGCCTCGGATAAGGCGTTCCACAGCGATAGGTTGTTGAGATCACGCTGAAGAATCTCCTCATTTAATGTAAAGTCCTCTATATTTACCGCAGAAGGGCTACTTTTGTGATCCGAAGCCTCAAAAGGCGATGCGGCCTTTGTTGAGGAAGATGAGAAGCGCTGAGTGGTGTAAAGTGCCAATCTCGGCAGGGCTGAGATTGATATATCCAGTGCGCCGCGTCTGCAGTGCAAGTGTCGTAGAGCAACGGAAGCAACCCAAGCCGGAGCGTGAACGAAACATCCAGATGAAATCGAACTAATGAGGTGTCGAGAGGTTATGCAAAACATGACTTAGAAGTGAGGATACGGCTAAGTGTTTCTCTTGTTATTCCCTTGGTAAAACTCTTTCTGAGCTGCTCTTAAGAGAAAAAAAAATGAAGAATTTGAAAAAAAAAAAGTGTGGAAAAGTCTCCTTTGCAACTGTTTCAATAAAAGTTTGAGTCCTTCGATAAATTGGTGGAGATAATTAATCCACTGTCTGAAGAACTTTGGGAATCGATGCAGGTGATTATCCCATAAAATTATACAATTAACTAGTAATACAAAAATAGACAAACGCTTATTTCACTTTATGAAATGCGATGGTACAAAAAAAAACGGAAATATTTATGAAAAAGGAAAATCAACAAGAAAAAATGGACTATATTTTTTTGCAGTACAATGTTGAGTCTATGTGGGGAAAAAAATCGATGTCGGGCTTCTTTCATTTTCTCAATATTTCTAGAGTATTAATACCTTTACGTCAATAAAATACACAACAGCTTGGCTATGTAAGCCACAAGAGTTCGGAAAAACACCCAAATGGTCTGAAACTTCCAGTTGACCCTGTTTTATCGCTTTATCGTGAAGGTTACTTCACGCCATGGCTTCCCCTTGCTACCTTTGGGTTAAAGTGAGGAAAAATACGATCCAAACAGTACGAAATTATACAGCTAGCTGTTGTTGCCATGAAGTTACCCTCTGAGCATATCGTACCAAATTCGACATATCCTGCCGTTCTTTCTCATCCTCTAAGTAGGCCGACATCCGCTGGCTCTCATGTAGTGAGTCCGCGTAGTGCTTCGCCAGGTTGGCCGTATAGTCTGACATCATACGCTGGGCCATTCGGCTGTCGTTGGCGGCTGCCTCCATCAGCACAGCATAGGCCTCACGATACTTGTTGTTTTCATCTCGAATCCACCGCATCCCGTCCAACATGTTTCGTTTCGAGGCTGAGATGTTGCGTTTTAGGGATTCGCGTGTTTCGGCCATGCGGGATTCGTACTCCCGTCGAATGCCCTGGTGAAGAAGACCTTGCATTTTATTCAAAAACCGCGACGCCCGCAGACGCTCGATCTTGCGGTCCCGTTCCTCACTGCAGTAAAGACTGTACGGATGGCTTGCCAGCAAACGGCACTCCGCGGAGGTCAGCGAGGGCTCATCAGGCGGAACCGAGGAAAGCTCAATCGTGTTGGAGCGTGCGGATGCAAGGGGGGCAGGGGAAGACGGACCCGTAGGATGCCGTAGCCGTCGTGCAGGGGTCGGCTTCTTCGCCGACTCGGTATTCCCCGCCGCGGGTCTCGTGGCGATGATAGGGGAGGTTTGGTAGTGAACTTTCTTCGGCTTGGCATGCGGCGAGGGGCACTGCCCCACACCCGCGATAAAAGGAACCGGTGGCGTCTCCGCCGAGTTGTTTCCTACCGCCGTACTGCTCGGTGTCGGCACCGTCGTATCGCCTGGCGTTCGATGCCGCAGGGCGGGATCCTGCACCGCATCGCTCAATTTCTGAAATCGGTAGCGAATATCCGACGTGTTCAGCCGAAGTGGGGTCACGGTGCTGGTGGAAAGTAGCCTTCCTCCACTGCTGCGCGTGGGGAAGTAAAGGTTGTTCGATGAGTCCGCAGGGTCCACTCGGGGCGAGACGATCTCGCGCGACCAGGTCTCCACCAGCTTTTCTTTTGAGATCGGAGAGGCGGAGACATAGGGCAAGGGATCAACCTTGTCCGAGTCGAAGTCTTCATAGGAACTCGAGGGCTCCTCCTCCTGGATCTTGTAGTCTCCCCTCTCCCCTCTCTCGGGGGCTTTGGGAGTCGGGTAGGGAAACGGATAGCCGGGGATCGCTTCAGGAGGTAGGTTATGGTGTACATACCGAGTCGACATGGGATACTCGACGTCATGGTCAACTAAGTGGGGGGGGGCTTCTGGAAAGGCCCTGTTCAGCGGGGCTGCCTCGTTAGGGTGAAATTCAAGACCGGCGGTTGTTGTGGGGGGCCCTGTGCTGTAAAGAATAGACGCTATGGCCACGCCTGGTGGAGCGACTTCCGCCACGGTATAGCCGGTATGGGCTTGGGGCATCAGGGCCCGCTCGATTGCCTGTGCGGCGACCGTACGTTGCTGTTGGTACTTCATATTATCAGCGATGTTCACAAATACCATAATAAGACGGCTCACGTGGTCCTCATTGAGCTTCACGACTTGGTCGACCGAAATGTCCGTTAATGTGTAGGAATGCTTGCGAAGCTCCTCAAGCACCAGAGTTACGTTGCGGCGCTTTTTTTCTGGTGTGTTTGGGAAGCTCTCGATGTTCTCGATTGCGCAACCAAAGAGACGCTGATACAGCAGCACGAATAAGCTAGAGGTACACTGTCGAATGCTGGTAACCCGTTTGGATTGCTCCAATTGGCAAAACCTAAGAAGTTCATTCACGTGATTTAAAATGTTCTTTGTCTGAATCTCGTGCTGGTCCGCGCCTCGAGTTGGAGCTACTTGTCGTGTAGAGGTAAAGGATGACGCTGAGGATTTGGCTTTAGTAGAGGAAAGAGAAGAATTGTTGATAACGGTCTTCATATTTAATGCTTTGGGGGGCACATTTAAGTCTGATTCTCCTCCCTTTTTATTAGCATCATGGGATCGGGATGCTGCATCAGCTTGGAGTGTGCTGTCAGGCGTGTCTGAGTTCCACACTGCTGACTTTTTGTGAGGATCGCTTAGAGTACTTAGGGTACTGTTGTGCTGGTCATGTTCCGAAATGTAACGATTCGATGCGGAGGAGTTTGAAGTCCCCTCCAGAGCCTGCGTTTGTATATGTTGAGCTTGTTGATGCGTGGTAACGGAAGATGTGTTGAGACTATCGAAGTTTTGCATTACTCTGGTTGTTGATTCTACTCGTTTAACCGGTAATGCAGTCTTGCGAGATCAGGTCAGATAGTATTATATTTGTTTGAAAGCGTAAAAGCTTAATACAAAAAGATGAAAGATCTAGTAGCTATGAGAATTGCTAGATTAAAAAAAATGGCGCTTTTATATACTTACGTGCTAAGTAGCACAAAATTATGTAAAAGTATGGCGTGTAAACCTTTATCCACATATAGAATAAAAATAATAAAGGGAAGTAGGAGGCACAATTAGACTTAAACAGGCGGTGAAATATATACATATAAAGGGAAACACATATTTTAGCAGAAAAAATGTAGTAAACATACCAATATATGGTTGTAAAAAGGTAATATCACACACATTTTCATCTTATTTATATGAAAAAATGCCACCTTTGCGAACACAGCCAATAAAAACGGTGAATGGTTATAGGAAAAACGTAAAATGGATTGAATTATAAAGAGAACATGATATTGTACATCAATGAAAGTCCCTGAACTGAGCGGTAAAAGAAGGGTGGTAAAACAACAACTCAATCGAATGATTAAGAAAAGGATTTTTTCATTTTGCTTATCATAAGTCCAAGATAAAGTTATACTTAAACATTAAGTACTGAAAAACATAAAAATTACCTACTCCCCTAAAATTTCCTTCTCAGAAAATATATACACAAGACTTAAGAAATCGCATTGTTGAGAAATTCTGTATTAATAGAGAGCCAAGTTAAACAGAATTAAAATGCTAATCCATGTATACTGAGGAATACATTTCCAGATGTATTTTTCCATTTACCGGTATCCTAAATAATGTATTTCAATTCACTATACTTTTCTTCTCCATATGCTATATGATCAATGAAATAAACGAAATCATTTCAAAAAAACAAAAATAAAAAGAGAAAACATCAAAGAGAAGGAAATTCTGATTACAACGGTAACCAGAAAAATAACTCAAAAAAAACACCCAAGAAGATAGAAAAATACCAAAATCAGGACAGGTAATCAAAAACAATAACAAGAACTACATCAGGTTCCATAAATGTGGGTTGTAAACCAATATAAAAGAATTAACCATTGCTTCAAAAAAAAGACTCTTCTGTGTGTTATGAAAAGTATAACAACTTCCTGAGTTCCTAAATATCCTTTGCTTGTCTAGGATTTCATAGATCATTTTACTTTTATTAGAAACCTCCTGAGCTCCTTCAGTCATCAGCGAGCTTGTGAAGAGGCGGCAACCTGTATTATAAATCTACCTATAACAGGATAAATAATTAGATACCAATCATCAGAAATGTCAGATAAAAGGATACATTTTTGATTTTTATTTAGAATCGTGATTCCTGTCTCAATAAGAGAAGCATTCAGACCTAAACATAAATAAAACGCCAATGGCACAATAATAAACTACATTCAATAATGATACTACTCGCAACCCTGCCATCTGAGAGTAGGGGCTCCGTGTTAACAGATGATGATCTTAACATAATTAGCTTTTCCTTCTCTGAATATATCCGATGCAAAGTGCACTACAACTTCAGATGTGCGTAGGTGAGAGGCAAATAACGAGACATACAAAGATAGGCATGTGAAAAATAGTTGAAGGATGCATCTTATTGCCACCTTACCCCCCATTTTCCCCTGCTTTCCTCGGATATAAGAAACAAGATCTGTAGCGCGACATTGGCGCCCACTACTCCCGTGCGTATGAGGAAGAGGAAGGCGCCGCGCTAGGACATGTGATGTCTTCCGCACGAGCTCTGGGGCTCTCGGACACGGCGGGTTGTACAGGGGTTCGGCAGCCGCAAAGCTACACCGCCGAGGGGGAGGAAGGGTGGGCTCCTCAACCTTGGAAAACGAGCTGCTCTTTCAGCTACCGGGTGGTTTCATCCTAGAAGGCCTTCCCTACACGTCGGCCACTATCGCGTCGGTCGGATGCCCCTGCGGTTTGGTCTGTGGAAGCATCCAGAACAACTCGAAAGATGAAGCCATTGCGGCAAACGGAATGGTAATGTATGGTTTAGGGGGGTGGTAGAATCCTTTTCAGTAACCGTCATTGCGGTGTGTGCCTGTGAGTTATGACGCACCAAAACACTGGAGTTGGCGGCATCACTCTGATCATCTGAATGGGTACTTTTACTATAGTGTAGAATGTTGATCTTAGTGAAGAAATGTAGAGGCCTCGGTATGCTCGGAATCGTGCTGGTGGTGTTGAAGAAGAACAAATGAAACGACTCCTCTTCCGATTCCAAAACGCCTCTCTTGGTTTAGTGATTCAGGCAGAGCTGTAGATGGTTCAAAAAGCTTTGCTCAGCAATATCAGTAGGGCTCTTGGGTGCTTGTCTTGACGCGGAACGCAACTCAGAAGGTAAGTATGAGGCTTCTTTTGGCGTGAACAGCGGGGTTGCATCGTCAGAAGACGTGGTCGGAAGTCCAGTCGCACTACAGCTACTTTCAGGTGTAAGACAACAGATAAGCTCCGGGAATACCTTTTCAAGCCAAACGGCCGTCGCAACGGCTACTGGTGGTGCGTTCCAAACGGTTGAGCCGTTTGAGGAATGATCCGCCGAGATTGAAGAAGCCAGGAGAAGTTTCTGCGAATTAGAAACTGCGGCTTTATTGTCAGTAAGATGTCGTGGATCGGTTGCTAAAGGTAACACACTGACGCCTTTATTATTTACAGAGCTGCTACTGCTACTTAACCCCCAAGCTTTTAATGCAACTATATCTCCATTATTCTCTATTCCTAAATCGCCTGCAAAACCTTCGCATTCATGCTCTTCCGTATCTTTAGAGATTTCATCAAACCCGGAAATAGGTTTAGAGCAATGTCGCTGAGCATTTGTTAGCCATTCCAGCATCCACGCCGCTGCTGCGTTGGGACCACGGTTACAAATCTCATTAGGTCCAACCCGTTCCATCTCCTCCAGCATACATCGGAACAATCTAGGTAACTCCTTGCGCTGCTCAAGATATTCCTTCTCTTGGTCATCAAGCGGGGCCCAGAGCATCTCGGAAACCCCTTGCAGATAAGTGAAAATATTGGCACTAGACGTGGTGACTCCATCACCTAAACCAGGTCCACTAAAGATGGCCCTTTCAGGTAAAAGTTCGAATGGTGATAATACCTCTGCATGCGCCGCACACCTTGTATCCGGATATGGTTCAAGTTTGTCACTCCGTGAGGCAGAATTTCCTACTATGGGGTTTGTTTGCCGTTTTCCCTTCGTAAATGAATTATATGTTAGAGGTACCCCACACATCCTGATGGAAGGCTTGGTTAGACGGTGCACACGCGGCTTGGCAAGAAGTTGGTTATTTTTGAGTAATTTCTGAGTTTTTGTCTCATGACATTCAGCAATGTGTTGGATGCCCATTTGCGATCGATGTAGTTGGATATCCTGTCGACCTACAGACGTGACTGCGCATTTATTCTTTGTCCTGGACTCAGAGATGATCGGAGACTGTGGACGAGCACTACAAAGTGTCGAGATCCGATGCGGTGAGATGTGATTATGTGTCGGGGTTGAGATTGGAATTGCAGATACTAAAGTAGGAAGCCTCGCGCATGTGGTATAAGCCCGAACATGTCGTGATCGTGAAGGCGTTTGGCTGTTACCACGTATATTGTTTGCCTTAATTTCATTACTGTGAACTTGTCTTTGGTTGAGGCGGTTCGAACGGTTTCCATTCCGAAAAGGTTTTTTTCGAGGAGAGATAGGGGGAGGCAGATCCTTTGGTGGGTTCATTAAGAAAATTAATCAAAAGATACGTGCTACTCCTTTTATTTTCTAAGTTTCTATAAATTTTTTCGCCAGGATCAGAAACAAAAAAAGGGAAAAGTTAAGATAAAATATAAAATAGTTTGAGTGTCGAGAGATTGTAAAATACGAGAAATCACAAGGGACAGAAGCTGATAATTGACCTGAGCAACTCATAAAAGCAATAACCGCATTCGAAGACCAATTTATGCAAAAAAAAAAAACGTTCCTGAATATAAAAAACATTATTTTTCATCGCACACCATAGCTAAAGTTTTGAAGCTGCTTTCTGTGCAAGGAATCAAAAACACTCTTTTTGTTGGACCACATCTTCCCACGATTGCGACGTATTTCAGACAACTTGTTCGCCTTGTCCACCTCAATTACACGACGCTGCACTTGCCTTCCGATAGGTTCCTGCTCCCGGTCGAACTCAACGCCTGTCGTGCCAACGTTCCTTTGCCTCTCTGGGCGGCGGCCGAAGTTCTCAAGTAGGTAGTCCAGTGTGCTTTCCTCATGAGCCTTGCCCGTGAAGCGTGCGGCCCATAGGCGACGCTTCTTATCTAGAATTGTATCCTCAATAAGACGATACACTACGAATGCATCTCGACCCATGACCTGTACTCGCTCAAAGTTGGTGAGGCAGCGAGCAAGGTCGGCCCCCCAGGGCACCTCCAAGCATAGCCGGCGTAGCTCCATTAGGTAGCACAACACGGCGGCTGTGATGGTCTTATCCGGGGTGTACATGAAGTCGTGGAAGCCGCACTTCTCCTCGTAGAAGGCACAAACGCGCTCGGGGTTGTGGCGGTGGTTCTGCAGCATCCGCGCGGCCTCGATTTTCTCATTACATTCCTCCAGAGTCGGCTGCAGTAGTGCACATACCTCATCCCACGAGAGCTTGCTCTTAGCGGCGTTGAGCCACTGAGGATCGGCGCTCAAAAAGAAAAGGATGCGGAGGTCGGTCGGAGAAATCATCGCCGTATCCGCGACAACCGGTATGCCCTGGCTCGCTTTCATCTCCTTGTACAATGCGGCGGCCTCCTTGTTCGGGACATCGTCCAGCAAGAGCGAGCCATGACTCGGCGCCATAAAGATACCTTCAAAAGGCGTAGTGTCGGGGTAAATGAAATCACCGTAGCGCTCTTTAATCTGTTCGTGGGTGTTAAAGGGCATCACATCAAGCTCCGTGATATCCACGCCGTCCGGGTCAATATAGGGCTTGTGCGCAAAGCGCGGCAGGTAATCGTTTTGAATGCCGTCAATGAACCCGATAGGGCCCCATCGGTCCCACAGATAGTTTGGATCAAGGCCAAGCTCTTTCCGCCGCACCGCACGCTCGAGATCCATGAGGGCATGCCGCATCGCCTGTGATAAGACTAAAGTGCCCACCTGGAGGCCGTCATCGTCCCAGCAGTGCGCCCGAAGGGTGTTCTTATCATAAAAGGGCTTTGTGATCCCGATACACCGCCAGTAGCGGGCCTCTTGTGTGAAGTGAAGGGCAGAGTCTAGAAATGCCTTGTCGTAAATATGTCGATTGCCCTTGATATTCTCATCGTGCAGAAGCATGCCGATCAGCTCGGGGGCGTCAAACGCTCTCCAGATAATTTTGGTCTCTAGGTTGTAGAAGTTGTAGCTGAGGCGCTCATGGTTGCGCTCGAAGTCCTTTGAAAGGTGGTACGGCTCAAACCAGGCCTTCTGCGGCATAAAGGTTCGATCGGAAAGCTCGGTGCGGTTGCGGTCCAGGTAGCTGCGCACTGCGATGCGTCGACCAATGGTGTGTTTCTTAGGGATCATATAAAAATCACCCTTTTTATAATGGAATACCGCATCTTCATTCTTGTCAGCATTCGTAACGCCGGTGCTGCTCCATCTTGCTGGCTGAAATACTGAAGAATAGATAAACTTAGAGGAAGCCACAGTGAGGTTAGCAGCAGCGCTCCTGCTTCTTTTCAAAAACATCGCTTGAGAGAAGTGTAATACTTGAGTCAAGCTTGGAGAGAAGCCTAAGAAAAGAAGATATATAGGTAACGGTTTTTTACTTGTTTAAAGATACAATTGCTCATGTGAATTTGTTTCTAGACTCCACAAATTTATTGTATCTAAAGCTCAAACGAAGAATTAGTCCCGTTTCTTCACCCTTTTTCCATATACGTATTATTTTGATAAGCATATGAAAAAAAAAAAGGTGACAGTATGATGGAAAAAGAAGCACACCGTTCCCACAGATCAATGAAGCGATTTAAAGCAAAGTAAACAATATACACATTTGTGTATGCAAGTAGAGGTACAAAAGAGGTAGCGTTTGTCCACGTTCCTCTTCAATTTGAAAATATAAATAGAAATAATTAAACTAGAAAAATATAAATAAGCAATTCATTTATGATAGCTTACTGAAATCAACACGGTTGGGTTGATAGTCCATTTGGATCATACACAAACTTAAGAGAGTTTTTTTATCTAAACTTATCTGACTTCATCAACTATAACTATATATATATATATATATAGTTATATACAATTGTAAATTTACCACAACTAGCGGAAGCGAAAGCTTGGGAAATATAAATGAATCCCCAATTACGTCAATGAAGATTTAATGATAAGAATCAGGAAGGAAACCAAATGATATTTAAACTTGTTTCTTTTTTCTCTCCATCAAAGCAAAGTGTTCTCTCTATTTGCTTTACTCCGAGTAAGCCTCAGAGATAAATCGATGAAGTTGGCTTGCATATGGATTCCAGTCCAAAAAGTTCTGATCCCTATCGTCGTTATCCTTCCAGTGGTGTTTTTGTGACTGAAGAAGCGAGGGAGCAGAGCAAAGTGAACGGAACAATCCACTGCTCCGTCCGTTATCGCGCTCTTGTGCACATGGAGGCGATAAAGTGGTCTCCAGATCATACCACTCGGAGGGTGAGGTCACAGAGAAGACCAAACCGCTCGAGGTGCGCAAAGACTCCGCATACCCGCTCGCGTACTTGGTTAAACTTCCAGGCAGCAGAAGGCTTCCTAGGGTTTGCCCAGATCGATTCGCCTGGGATGCGCTACGATAGCTTCCGCTGAGATCGAAGCTGAGTGGTCGTGTGGCCCGGGCGTTCGGCGAGAAGACCATGTGAAGGTGCGTTGTGGGTTTTACCCCTGGCGTGAACAAGCCGGGAGTCTCGTCGACGGCGTCGTGGACGTCCTCTACGTCTTCACTCCCGAGCAGCGATCCCCCTGGCAGCTGTGTTTCTCCTGTCAAGGCTGATAAGGCGCAATGCTGTTGATACGCCCTGCCTTGCCGATGAAGCCAAGACAAAGCAGACTCTAGTACACTAATACTTGAAATGTAGCCATTGCTGAGTTCATGAAGACGCAAAGCCTCATCGAGCAACGCACTAATCAATGGATCCGCTTCGACAACGGATTTTCCCTCAAGGAGACAACGAAATGGTTCGGAACCGTTAGCTGCGCCCCGTAAACACACCGCCCCATCGGCCCCCTGCTCGATAAAGATCGTTGTACGTTCGAGGATCTTGGCGTACCGCAGCCGATAGCAAAGAAGCCGGTTCGGCGCCACAACCACGATATCGTTATCGGGACTATAGGCGGACGCCAAGGAACGCAAACAGGACTCCTCAAAGTTCTCGCAGACCCATTGTATGGGGACGTTGGCATATACACACGAACGGGTTTGAGCCGCGAAGGCACACACATAGGTATCACGCATCGCCTCCAGCCACTCGGCATCGTCGCGTCGAACCAGAAGTTGAACCCTGGACCTTTGGTTAATCGGAAGGGCGCCCGACGACGTCCCGACGCGTAAAAAGAAGGTTGCGATGAACATCAGGCTGCGAGCCAGCCTCGCGTCGCGCGTGAAAACGACGATGCGGGGGGTAGGACGGTCCGACAACCGGCAGCTGCCCTCCCCTTCCTCCCTCTTGTGGGGCGGCGGGGGTGGCGGGGTTTCCATCTCGCGCGCCTCCCCCGCCGGTACCGGCGACGTTGTCCGGAGAAGCTCCCAGTAGGCGCCGT